GCAAAAAAAATACGGTAAAAGGTTATGAATTAGTCCAATTAGGCACAACTAGGTAGGACAAGATGTGAAATTTAACATGTGGAAAAATAATTTGGAAAGAGATTACAATAATGGAGTGATAACACCTTTAATTTTTATGTCTTAAATAGATAAGCACAAAGCCAATGCATTCCAATAGATGACAAGAAAAGGCTTTCCGGACATGACATAACCTTAAAGCAAAATGAAGCAGAAAAGGACTTGTTTGATGAACCCTAAATGATCCAAACAATAATGAATGAAGAAAGTATTAGGTATAACCAAATAGCTTATGACCTAGTAATAGTGCTATCTTATAAAAGATTATGAGTTCAAATTCTATCGGACTAATTCCGTTAAGAATCTTGAATATGTTAATTATATAGATAAAAAAAAAGTATTAAATATAATAGGAGTTGTGTTCCATTCTTTCACAAAAATAGGAGAACTATTATAAAAATAATTCATAAGTCATATATTTTTATGAGAAAGATGAGTACATTTTCGGAGTTTGGAATTTAGGTTATATGCCTTAACATACATCTTAATTAAACTCAAGTCTCTATGTCTAAAGATAAACTTCAACCTTTCAATCACAAAGATGGACTTTAACCTAGATCGCAAAGATGGACTTCAACCGGGGCTTTTAGGCTTTTGTCAAGTGATAGGAAGACACAATAATGTTGCATTAATAGAGATTTTGTAGAAATGCTATATATGTTGGTTAAGCATCTATTCTCATTTCTCATAGTAATTGATAAAGAAGAAAAGACACATGAACTTTCAATGCCAAAGAAAATGTACTTTGCTATATATAATGCATTTCATATCCTCTTAAAGTAAATATTGTTTGATAATTAAGAAGATAGGTAGCGTCGGCTCTAAGATTTTTGTTGGGTCGTTAGCCTCTATGAGGCTTTGGGAGCATATAGAGTGTGGCTTAGGCTTCGGGATCTTTACTTGGACCATTGGGCTTCTATAAGGTTCCGATACCATATAGATTTAGATAGTTGAGATTGGATTCCATCTAAAAAACTTAAGCCTTGTAGTGGGTGGCCTCTTCTCTACTTTATATGTTAATCATCTTTGGTTTGACTACTCAATGTGAGATATGTGCTTTAACAATCACAAAAATTTCTTCTTCTCAAAGTATGAAATTCAAGAAAGAAAAGAAAAGAACAAAACATGCTCTAAAGTTGATCACTAATTGTAAGTTCCATATACAGACTTGAAAAATTCTCTTTTTTATTTTATTTTATTGGTTTCATTCTTTGTTTATTTCTAGTAATGAAAATATTCCAGCTTGATAAAAGAGAATCACCAATGTTCGTATTTCATTCTTCCAATATGTGACATAAAAAGAAGCATTTGTTTTAGGTAAATTTCTAGGGTTAAATTTTGAGAAAACTTTAAGTAATAGCACCCAAAAAAACATATATAAAGCATTGTTTTAGCTAAATTTATGTACTTTGATTTTAACATAATATTGGTAGTTTCTTCTAGAGTAGTATAAAAGTCTCTCGTAGGGTAATTAGCATTCTTTCTTTCTTCTTCAAGAATTGAAAAAAAAACACAAAAAAAGAAATAAAAAATTGTTTCTTTAGATCCCATAGTAATAATAATAATAAAATCATACAATTGAGGAAGTCAAACACACATAGATATGAGATAAATATATCCGTACACTAAAGGTACTACATTTCCGGGATACCAAAAGATACAACAAAAGAACTAAAGCTTACGTCTTTTATTAGTACCGGTCATACACAAGCTTATATATTGCCGACATCAATTGTTCTTAGTCCCCTAAAGTTTGCCATGGAGTTGTAGTTTTGCAAAAATTAAGAAAATTTGCATCAATTATTCTCGGATTCATGTTGGTAATAGCACGAAAATTGGAATACGCAATTGCACTCCTAATGTCCCAATTTTAGGCTAAATTAGGTAAGTAGTTGCTGTCGCCACTCGCTATACTTGCACCTTCCATCTTTTAACATTACAAGGTTTCGTTGATAACCCATTGTTGTAGATATCCTAAACTTTCTCCCGATCACTATCGATTCTTCGATGATGTTTCCTTTAGGCGATTAATTGGCAAATGAGTAATGAGATCTTGGACCTTCAACTTGATCATGACCTTCAATTTGGTTCAAGGACCTTGGCTGGTTCAAGCAACTAGTACTACACCAAAATATGATCATAGAGGCGGAATCACCGAGGCGGTCATGAATACCACCTCAAAAAATTAATAACCGTAGTTGAAAAAGAATATTATCAACCGCCCCAATTTTAAAGAATTAGTTATCGTTTATATATATATATATATATATATATATATATATATATATATATATATATATATATATATATATATATATATATATTTGGTTCTCTAAAGAGAAGCAAGATACTTCATACTCCCGCATTTGTACTTGTTTTATAGAAATTAGGTTTTTTCATCATCTTCTCGTCTTGCCACATATAAATTATTTAATCTTCCCCTACCGCCCCTTTCATTGATAGAAATTAGGGTTTTTCATTTTCCACTCCAGCCACAAAAGATATTTTTCATCTTCCCCTTTTGCCTCCTTCCTTTGACAAAAGCATATGCAAGCAATTCAATTTCTTTCTCGGTCATCATCGATGCTTGAGTGAGAAGGTCTTCAAACGTGAGTTTTCAAACTCTCTTTACTAATCTCATGTATTTTGCTTAAAATTTTCTTTCAATGGTACCAAAACATCATCATTCTCTCTTCTTGCTCCTCTTTTTAATTTTGAAGGGATAAATGCTTGCCCAAAACTTATCCTAAGCGATTTTTTTGATTGAAAAAATTAATTAATCGATTGGGTTTTGTCTCATTTTTTATGTTGCAAACTCAATATTGCAATGGTTTATTCGAAATCTAACTTCATAGTTAGTTGATGGTTTGCTTGTGTAAATTTGGCGGTATGCTATATGATCTTATGCAATTTTTTTTTCTTATACACTACCTCTTCTGTCATTAAATATATTAGGTTGGCCATTTTTTGTATTATCCATCAATTAGTTTCTTAATGTTGATTTATGTGTCTTTGAGTCAAGTAATGCAAGAGGGTCCGGCCATGAAAATCAATTTGTTAAGTTTTTGTATATTTTTAGAAATTACCTTTTGTTTTCCAAACTTGCCTCTACATATTTTATGTTGAATTGACTTGATGGTGAGCCATTTGATACAAAAGAAAACCTTTGTCGGTTAATGTATAGTATGTTTCTAAGTTGCCTCTACTCGCATTGCTATTGAATTGAAATGTTAATGTGCAAAGTTGCATGAGGAATGCTAATATATTGATGATGAAGCCATTGTTCACCTATCTATTTGTTCCTCTCATGTTACTTTATCACACAACCTCTCTCGCTATGACTCTACATCACAAACTTTAGGCCTATATGTTACTCTAATATAACTCTACTTTGATTCATAAGAACTGAAATCTGCATCATAGACTTTAGGTCTATATGTTAAATTATTTTTGCATTTGCTTCTATTTGTTAGAGTTTTCTTATAGTTTTATGGAAGATTAAACATCGAAAATGATTTTGTTTTGTTGGAGGATTCATTTCATGTCATGAATAATCACCATCATAAATGCATTCGTTTCTTAATCGGTTCAATCAATTTAATTCTTTTCTTTCAACGGATGAAAGTCAATTTGCATATGTAGAATGAATTGGAAAAAGACCAAAGAAGTGGGGAAAGATTGACCCACATTGGGAAGCTTTCTTACTTTTAGTTCAATAAGTTAAAGCCTTTGTTTATTTTTTCTATTCAAATGACTCGCTTAGGTTGATCGAATTTGGAGACCAGTTCATTGGCTCCGAGAGATGAACGAAATGCCCTAAAGGTGGCGAGTGAAGGTTGAGAAGGAAAATAGGGAGTATTTGACTAAATGGTTGAAAGGAAAGAAGAACCATGAGTGGAAGGATGGAGATTTTGATGAAGAAAGAAGTAATAAGTAGTCCGCAGTTTACGTAAATGAGAGCAAACTATTAGAGATGTTTGATATATTAGACTAAATAGTGTGAGCCAAGCAAAACGTTGCAGCAGAATGGGTAAATAAAAGGATCTAATGGTAGCAAGACTACGGCTAAAAGACAAGGAAATAACATGTTGATTTGAGGACTCTTCTAATTCAATGTGCACAAGAAGATGACCACTCGGATGCCGCAAGGATGGAAGGGACGGATTGTCAATGCATCCTCCGCCTCTACACCCTACCGTCCGTGAAGCTTCGTGTTGAGTATTTGTTGATATTATATTGTGACACATAATTTTCTTGTATATAACAATCCTCTCTAAAACCTAAACTCGAATGAGAGTTTGATAGCAATCGGTAGCTTTATCCGATTGTTCTCTAGTACTTTTAACTCAATAGATGGTGCAATCGACATCGTTATTTAGCCAAAGATTTTGTCGTTTGATGTGATCTTGTCTTTGAAGGCATTTTCTTATACTTAGTTTCGTTGTATATTACTTTAAAAAATGTCTTATTGTTATCCAAAGATTTCTAAAAACAATTGAGGCCATTACAACCGTCTCTATAAATTGTAAACCGCCCTTATAAATTTTAAACCTTATGGCGGTTGTAACGACCTCCAAATATTTTGTGTGAAATTTAAAAAAAATGAGAGAACGTAGAGGCGGTTCTAAATCGCTTAAAAAATTACGTACCAACATTATTAAAGATAAAATTAGTATCATAGAGGTAGTCGAACCGTCTCAAAAAAAATAATTTGAGGCGATTCAAACGGCTTAACCAACCGCCTCATAATTCCTCGACGGTTGGCAAAACCGCCTCTACATCATAGAGACAAGCAACATTGCAAACGATTTTGAAACGGTTCAAAAAATTACCTTTACAATTTATAGAGATGGTTATAACTATCTCTAAAAGGCAAAAAAATCGCATGTAATATCCTTTTTTGATGTAGTATATGGCTAGAGTCAGGACATTTTTTTTGACCCATGGAGCCTTCTAGTGGAAATTTTCACTCTAGTCCTTTCCCTTGCTCTTTCTCTAGCCTTTTTCTCTTGACTCTTTAGCAAGAAGATTGACTGCTCTGTTTTGCAACTCTTCATCCTAATTTTCTCATCAGAAAGACCGGTTAGTGACTCAATCTTTGAAATTACGTTCTCCTCTAGGCCACCAGTTTCAGAAACAATTTCACAATTCTGTAATAATTCTTTAATGGCTTTTTTTGATTTAGTGAGCAGCCAGTCTAGGATCTTACTTGTTTTTTCAAACCGTAACATGTCTTGGACATCAAAGAACTTATGGGCGATTTCAATAGATAATCTCACTCTCCTATCTCTCAAGCCTTGAGATGTGTAGATTTTACTGTGCCTATCTTTCTTCACAGATCCTTTTCCAGCAAGAATATGAGAAGGGTTGTGTTGTTCTCCATTGAGAGCATGAACATCTTGTTTAGAAATCATGGCGTTGCTTGAAGCTGCCATGTTCAGCTCGGTCTCAGTGACTGGTATTGGGATGGTTGGGATTAAAGGAATTGTGAGTGGGCTGTGGTGGTGGTAAAAGAAAATAACACTAGTTTCATGGTCAGTAATGTAAGGAGAGGGGTTGTAAGGAGAAGAGGAAAGGTTTGGAAAAGGATTGATAGCCCTACTGGTGGAAGTGTGCATTTGTCTAGAATTGGATCGAGAAAGCGCTAGCCTCTTACAAAGGAAAAAAGTTTGATATCAAAAAAGCGTACTGCTTGTGGTTGCCATCCAGAAGACCTCCACCCATTTAATCTTTTTCAGATTCACTTCTCTGCAAACAAGGACAGGATAAAGCTTGTTGAAAGATGTTCATTGTATAAAACTGAGAATGAAAGAGTAATTAATTGTTAAATGTTAGGGATAAAAGGGTTTAGAGTGTCTCTCTCTCTTAAACTTCAGGGCAAAAGAAAAGAGAGAAACAATCCGTGCAGAACTGGATGGGAAACACATAGTTTTGTGGCTCTTGATGTGGGAGCAGCAAATGATGGCAGGGACTGATGGCAATCTTTTCAACTTTTTCAGCCCAGTAATTGACTAGGGTTATAGCTAGGTTAGCTAGGTTTCCAAATATATGTAGAGACAGTGAAAATGAATCTAGGGCTGTTAGTCTTCAGATGCAAATCCAGCAATAGTTAGCTACTAGCTTGATTTTCGTGCGTTGCAAAGCTGCGAAATGAGTTACATAATATACGATAAAGAGTTTTGACAATTTTATAATAAGACGGTTTAAAACTTATAAAAAATATATTTCAAAGCTTTTATATAAATTTGTTTTATAAGGAAGAAGAGTAAATGATATCGCTTTTATAGACAATAATAAGAAAAGATACAAAAGATGACTGCAATAAAAAAACATTTACTCCAATTATTTTTTTATGTCTACTAGATTAAATTATTACACATTCTAAATTTTTGGATCAAAAAAGAAAAGATTTTGTTTTTTTTTGCTAATTTACTCCAATAATGTAAGGACATTCTAATTATTACACAAATTCACAAGATAAAAAATTTTATGTAAATAAATAGACATACTAATTCATTCTAATAATATATTAAAATTAAATCAAAGTAAGATCTCAGAACATCTATCAAAACAAAATAAATTCACAAAAAGCCAAATAAGGATCTTAGCTAGAGTAAAACTACATTTAGTTGAATATTTGATATAAAAAACTATAAAATATTTTCACTTACACTTAAATATAAATAATTTCTTGTTCTTAAAAAAAATGACCAATTATTCCCAAGACAATATATATATATACACACATTAATTTACTCCAAAAATATATTAAAATCAAATCAAAACATCTATTTTCAATAATTTAATAAATTAGTTTAAAGAAAATTAACGAGACAAAAATAAATATAAGCACAATAAGAACAATTTTAAACTTTTAAAGAACAAAATATAAGTATAATATAAGGATCGATATATAAAAAAAAGAAAAAAAAAGCAAAGAAGACTTTACAACATATAAGAAAAAAATAATAATCACATATAACAAAACTCTAATGACCTCTTAAGATCACAAAAAAAATAAAATAAAATAAAAAGTTAAAAATGAGGATTTAGGTTACGGTGAAACTACATTTAGTTTTAGTCAAAAATTATATATATATAAAATTCACTTAAACTCCTAAATTTAATTGATTTATCAAAAAAAAAAAGATTATTTATTTGTAACATAGAAAAAAATTATTTAAATAATTAGGCAAGTTAATTTACTCCAATAATGTATTAAAATCAAATCCAAGAATTTATTTTAAATAATTAATTTAATAAAATATTTTAAGAAAGATTAACATACAATAATAAAAATAATTTTAAACTTTAAAGAAAAAAAATAGAAATATAATATAAGGATCGAAACAAAAAGAAAATTTTGTAGTATGAAAGAACAAAAATCACACATGATAAAACTCTACGGGCCAAAATAGAGATAAACTCACAAAATAGGAACCAAAATGACATGAAATTTGCAAATAGCTAAGGAAAAATAAAAAAAAAAGAGATCAAACATAGAGGGTAGAGGAGGAAGTAAATTATAAATTAGTCCATTTTTTTTTTAAAAAAAAATCTTTGTTTTGTTTTAAAAATAAATTATTTAATTTTTATATTTTAACTTCGTTAATAACTTGTTATTTTATCAATTGACAGAATAAAAATGTAAAAAATTAAATAATTAATTAAAAAAACTAATTAATTCATTTTGTAAACGATAATGTCCGGTTTATAATTTACTCGTAGAAGAGGGATATATATATATATATATAGACGGGACAAACTAGTAACATAAGCAACTAAATTGCAAGTACTCAATCCTAATAGAGCTGCAGGTGATGAAGCTACCATATGTTTGATCGAACCACCATCAATGTCGAGCTCTTCTTATTTTCTCTTTCCACAAGATCGAAGTTGGGAAACATATTTCTAGGGTTTATTGTTTCTTTTTTGTTGTATTAGTATAGCCAATTTACTATCCATCAATATCAATAACTTATTGCTCAACTCGTTTTAATGATTTTTCTATTTTAAAGGGCTCCGAGTTTGAACATTTTCCTTTCGTTTGAAAAATCACTAGTCAATGACCCATGTAATATTATGGTTTATTATAAAAAATAATAATAACATACGGATTTAATAAATCAATAGATTTGCAATACTACTTCTAGTTAAAAACTATATATATATATATATTAAGTAGATTCTAAATAGGTTACTAATAAGTATAATTAATAAATTTGGTTGCTATTATATGTTGTTCCCAGCAGCACAAAAAAGCATAATTAAATAATAAAAATTGACACAATAAATAAATAAATTTATTATAAATTAAAAATAAATAAATAATTGAAACTTTTTATCTTGATCATCGAAATATTAATGATTAAAATCACATTACCATATTTTGCAATATAAAGATGATCGAACCATCAAAATAGCTTTACTATAATTTTTAGGCGATTAGTTCGAGGCACAACCAGATTGTTTTTTTGAGATGATACGTGTCATTTGTAGAATTTATTTAATATAACGGATCAAAAATATATTGCACGCGATCTCGGGGATTCAACAAGTTCAGCCACCTTATCATGTCTTAACAAATTTGTACTATTTGTAAGACTAGAAACTCTAAATAAAATTAGCACCACTCTTACCCAAACATAGCATCAAAAAATTATATGGCTTTTTTTATGGGAGGCTAAACCAAAAAATATCAAAAAAATACTTTTTCTTCCATAGAAAAGTATGAACTTGCTATCACATGCATTTTCTTCTCAAGTAGAGTATATGTGATACCTTGCAAATGTGGGGAAAAAGAAGCTTTATATAGGCAATATAATTAGAGCCGTTAGATTTCATGAATGCATGAATTCATTGTACTTTAATCCCAAAATGGAAAGGCTTTTAAAAAACGACAATAAAATTATGTTAATTGACTATTTTGAAATAGTCATGTAATAGTCACATGACTATTTCAAAACAATTATATTTATCTTCTTTTTTAAAAAAATAAAAATAAATAATAAATATAGTTTTTTATATTTTACTAAAAAATATTCCAACAATCCACCACTTATTTTTTAATAAAATATAAGCCATATCTTTTCGGGTAAGTAAACGAACATAATACATAATAAGGGTTCTAATAGCTTGAACCCTTACTTAGTGTTTCAACAACATTTATCTCAAGCCAATAGTGAACATTATCTTGAACTAAGGTTTTTTTTAAGTAAAATAAATATTGTATTATACATATTATATTCGGATACTCGCAATAAGTTTTAGAACTAGCATATTAACGACCTTGTGCTTGATCTTGACGTCTATGAGTATTCTAAAGAATTAGCCCAATTCTCATAGGAAGCAGCCCCACTTCTTCACTCATCTAGGTGTGTCTATCAAGGTTGCTCTCATAACTTTAACATTCCATTCAAAAAGAACTATAGATCATATTAAAAGTTTTATTTAAAGAAACTTAGCCTCTCTTTCGTTATGGGCTCTTTCGTTATGGGATTCATGCACAACACTATGGGAATAAACATATAATTATTGTAACTCAAATAAACTATGTATGTAATCTAATCACTCTATGCTCGTTCTTCTCCTTAAACCTAGTTTTTGGGATCTCCAATCCCTAGGTAGAATATCTACATAGGTGACTTTATTCCTTTATGGGCTTAGTCTAATCCCCTTCGATGTATCTTTAATCTTTTGACTTTAGCTAAAGATTTACTCCCACAATATTCAATATACATCCAAATGATTAGATAACTAGCACTTAATCAATTTATTAGTGCTAAAACAAGCGATAAGAATTTTTCACCCTTACTATTTTAGACAAAACGAAACATTCACTTGTTTTCTTTTTCATTGGCATCCATTTGTTTTTCCATTGGCTTTGGCTTTTCGGATAATTTATGTTTTACCGGACATACATAAGCCAATTGTAATCATATTTATTTTTCGTATCCCCATTATTGTGCTAAAACATGATGGCATCATTGTATTTTCTAATGCAAAGGAAAATATTTAATATAATCACATTGAAGTGAATATGAATATTTTCTCGATCTCTAGTTTCTCATACAAATTTGATATCATTGTACATCATCTATACAATACGAATGTCAATATTTGGCTAGAGATTTAAATTTCTCAAAATATCATTAATTGTCTTATTAGACAATATCATTACACTACAACAAATTTAAACTTTAGGTACAAAAAAAGTCATCCTCAAATAATTAAAATTCATCGGCGAAGAAATTTTGAGACGCAAAGCTAAATCGTCCCAAAAGCCATGTAGGTAATTTTATTTTCGGATGCAAAGTAAAAATCATCCCTAAAGGATGTTTATTGTGGACAAATATGTGTTTTGTCCATGTATGTCCATCATTTGCGAACAATTATTTTCGTCTTAGAATGTATCTATATTCGTTCAAAATTAGTCTATTTCGTCCACAAATGTGAAAGATTTGAGTGGGGTATAACATTTTTGTTGACAAAACAAATTTTTCGACGAATGTAACTATAAAATGGTGATGAAACATTTTATCCTCAATGAAATTTTTTGGGGACGATAAATTTTGTCCCCGGTTTATCATACATATATAATTGCATGTAATTTTTGTAC